GCAAACTGAGATACAGGGTTTCAGGTTAAATCCTGAGGGGATTTGACTGACCTTATCAGATGCAAAAGTTACATTTCTTGTTATATAGGCCTTGCTTTATCTTGGTCTTAACCATCCAGCAGAAAAGTATGAAAATGAAGTATAAAAAGTAAAGCCACATCAATATGCTGAGCTGTAAAAAACTCAAGTCAACAACTTTGGACATTGCCAGTCTTACAGAAAACCTACTACTATTCTGGACTACTGGACTCTATTGGGAGATTCTGCTGAATTCACAAACCTACAATATTTAAATGACAATGGAATGCCCGTTTCTGACAAAACCAAAAATGTGGGATAGAAATGAACGACCCTTTTGTATCTGTATACTAAAAATAGGATATACAGCTCCATTCTCTTAATTCAATGAATAGAAGGGCCTGGGAGATGGCTCAGTGGAATAAGCACTTCCCTGGCAAGCGCAAAGGCCTGAGTTCAATCCCCGGTTCTACAAAAAAATAATTCAATGGAGAGGTTTGTTATAATAGTGTTTGAGACAGGATATCATGTCTGCATCTTGTACAATGATAACCACTAAGACAACAATATGCAATGTATTAATTATTGAAACTATGTCAGTAATCGGTTGTGAAACTGTCTCACTGATATTTGTTTCTCAATAAAATTATTTTTTTAAAAAGTATACATTTCAAGCTAACAGTGAATTTAAAGTTGCCTTTAAGACCAAATTTTTAAAATTGCCTACTTAATCCTAAAATTTGACTCCTCATTTATCCTTACACTTAATTATACGAGGTCATAGATTCTCTACATTCTTTTTAACCTAATATTCACCAATGCTATAGAATAGAAAGCTCTGAAGTTATCAGCTCTACCTAAAAACCCTTCATTAAGAATGTTTCCATCTCTCTAAATAACTTAAAGAAAAATAGAGCAAAAAACTTCTAACGGTAGGAAAATAGTGAATTTAAAAAACCAATAAAGAACACATTTTTTATAGTAAGTAAAATCTGAACCATCTGCTACCTGTTCACATTACACAGCACTCGAGCTGCCACTACGAGGAAGTGCCACAGAACATAATCTGCCCCCACCTCCACAACTGAAGTTAGAACAAAAAATCAGAGGATGAATCTTATGCATAATTACCAGTAAAATATCAAATTCAATGAACATAGCCAAACTCTGAAGAGATATTCTTTTTTTGGTCCTGGGGATCAAACTCAAGACCTTGCACTTGCCAGGCAGGCATTTATGCCACTGAGCCATCTCCCCAGCACAAGATATTATCCTGGCAACGACTACTATTCAATAGTGATTATCATACCCAACTTGGAAAAAAAAAAAAAAGGTAATCAACAACTGGTTAATCACAAATAATTTAAAAATAAATAGTCATCATATCAGTAGGGAAAACAATTATGATGATTTTAAAAACACCTGCCCTTTTGACAGATCACAGAGCATAATAAAATAACAAAAAAATAAAAGCAATGTGAAGTTCATGAAACAGCAGAAAGGGGTATTTGTATGTTAAAATAATTTAATTTCCCTGTACATCTCTGTCCACGTGAAAAATTAAGATATGTACTTTACAATATTTACCTGTTTTGAAACATTCAAATCAATTAGATGGCAAAAGCAGAATTCAATCACTAGTGAAATGTTTAAAAAATATATATTAAACAAAATGTGTCTTTACAAGATAAAAAATAATCTTCCACAATGCAATAAATTGCAAATCACTGAAATTTTAACTTTTTAGATGATTTCAGTTCAGTTTTTGGTTTCGAAATCTGGACACAGTAAGAAAAAAAAGTGTTGGCAGAGTTTCTATCTGTTTTTACGTTTTTCTTTTTTGCTTCGATTACTGGTTACACTGTTTACAGATGATGGAGGAGGTGCTCTTGCATGACCAGTGGCCTTGAGATGGTCAAAAAGTTTATTCCGGGATGGAAACTCACTATGGCAGGTTGCACAGGTGATAAGAACATCACTCTAGAAAGGGCAGAAAATCATAAACAAAAGGAAGAGTTATCTGAGAGTAGTGCTTTATGTTACAACATCTGGGTTAAACATCAAATAACAATAAAACAGAGACATTTTAACAAAACAGAAACCAAAACAGGCTCAAAAAAGGCAGAGGCTCTTAGAAATTAAATTTCATTAACCAACCTTATCAACTCTAATGGGTCAGAGGGTTTCAACAGTATATACCACAGACTAAAGAGTTTGTGCTTCACAACTAATCTTTAGAACTCAACATATATAACTCCTATCACTAACACTGTAGATTACAAAGGGAAGACAAAATTAATTGTTGTAGTATCAAGTATTTCCATCGTACTTCTTTTTACTTTGAAGAAAAAAGGAAATATAACAGTACATATATAAATTCTAAGAGCATCCTGCAAAACTACTGATGAATTCATATTTTGCTGGTTTGTTGGGGAAGGATTCACCCAGTATGCATTTGTATCTGCAGAACATTACACTGCTTAAGCAAGGTCCACCAAAGAGATGTAAGAATGATTCTGACCTACCTGTACTTGTGGTTCAGCAGAAATTTGGACGGATTTTTTCATATCTTTGGTTTTCTTTCCTTTGGGTTTAGGAATACTAGAAAAAAATTATATAGCATAATACAAAAATAAATAATGCACCCCTTTTAATAGTTATTTTGCTTCCAAGAACATTAAAAAGATGAGATGTATTTTAAAATGCTGATTTAACTTTAACACTAATTTAATTAACCACATCTCAAAAAGTTTTATAAACAACTTTAGAGATCAGCAAATTGCACATAATAATTTATCTACAATTTGAAACAAAAGCTAAAACAGTATCCCTAAAATAATCTCTGAATATGTATACAGTATTTTTTATAAAAAACAAAGCATTAACTGCAGCAAACCACTGTCACTATCAACTAGTAGCAATCATAGATAAGCTATTACGTTAAGTGTGGATTCCCAAAGTATCAACTTCTTGAATTTGATTCAGTCTCTTCATATTCAAAGGCTGCCCATGAAATGAAAAAACTGCATTATAATAAATTTTTCATCAATTTCGCTTGCCAAATATATTAAACGTGTGTTTATTAAAAGATCTGACAGTCAGCCTCATAAGGTTCCTTTCTGTTTGCATCCTAAACATTACTCTAATGCAACTTCCCATGAACTTTAATTTTCCTTAGTCATTTTGTATTTTTCCTCATTTATGACAATCAAATTCTAGGTGCAACTGTATTTATAAAGACAGAATGGGTTATAACAAATGAATTATGAT